TGGCCTCATCTAGACCTAACTACCTCCTGTGATACTGTGGCTCATAAGAAATATACATGTAGTCTCCCCTACTGACCCCTGGCAGTTTCTGGCACTGAACTCCAAAAACTCTTGAGAGAGTTTTCTAAGTGATGAGAGTGAGTGATAAAGATTTCCTTACCTTAAGGAGGTGACTCTGGGACTCAAGGATGGAGGCTGCCGCCAGGGAACCAACCATGTGATCAGAGGTTGGAAATTTCTGTCTCCTCACCTTACACCCCACCCCTAGGGAGCAGAGAGTGCCTGGAGGTTGAATTCATCACCAATGGCCAATGATTTAAGCAATCATGCCTGTATAATTAAGCTTTCATAAAAACCCAAAAAACAGGTTTGGGAGAGCTTCCAGGTTGGTCAAGGCAGGAAACTGAAACTGGGTGGGGGGAGGGAGGAGAGTGGAGCTCCTAGGAATAGTGCCCCCTTCCCCAAGTGTACTCTCTGCATCTCTCCCATCTGACTGTTCCTGCGTCATATTCTTTGATGATAAACCAGTGATATAGGAAGTAAAACCTTTCTCTGAGTTCCATGAGCCACTCTAGCAAATGAGTGAAACAAGAGGAGGAAATCTTGGGAAACGTATTTACAACCAGTGGGTCAGAAGTGCAGGGGCTGTGGACCAGCCTCTGAGGGGAGCCAGTCATTCAAGAGTGAATCTTAACTTTGGAGTCAGATGAGGTTTCTGTGTGGATGGTGTCAGAATAGTGGTGAGTGGTAGGACACCAAGCTGATGTCCTGAGGACGGCTTGTGGTGCGGGGCATCTCCCAGCCCCCCAACCTCACCCCACTTGAATTGGCACCAAAACTTCCTTGCTGCCCCATCAACATGGGGATCGTGGCTTTAGCTTTTGAATTTGGGAGAGACCTATTCAGTCTATAGCACCAGGTGTAGAATCCTGGCTTGCGCAAGATTCTCTACTGCAAAGCCCCCAACCAATCCTCATCTGCTCTTCCCCACAGGGCCTGGGGAGTCTGTGAGGCCTTTTCAGTGTGTTCACAGCCCTAGGTACTTACTCCCTGCTGGCACTTCCTCTTGATTTGTTTTCCTTGCGAAGAGACCCGGAGATAGCGAGCCTTTTCTGTAAAGGGCCAGATAGTCTCTGTCAAAACTGCTCAATTCAGCCAGAGTCAATATGTAAACAAATGGGCATAGCTGTGTTCCCATCAGATGTTTTATGGACGCCAAAATTTGTTTTTTATAATTCTCATGTATCCTGAATTATTTTTAAAAAACGTTTCAGTCACTTAAAACTACAAAACCTCTTCATAGTGTGCAGCCTGGAAACTGACATTGGGCCTGATCTGGCATGGATGATCAGCTGTTGGCCTGTGTACTAGATCACAAGTTTCGGCAAGGCAGGAGCTCTGTTTGTTTTCTGTCCCTTACATATAGCACAAGTGTTGGCTATATTGGTATAAAATCAATAAGAGTTGAAGAAATATTCAAGACTGTGTTGTATACCCACATAGACTTTCTCAATATCCTTCCAAAATCCGAATTGCACAGTGTATGGATTCCCTAATAGAATTTAGGCCAAGCCCTGATTGTGATCTGATTCCACCACAGTTGTGTGGCTCCTTCTCTGTAATCTCCGTGTCCCCCAAACGAAGGCCAACTCTTGGCCAAGTTGAAGGTGTTCTCCATGTACTCATACACTTCTAGATCTCAGAGGAATGGGAATTTGCCTGTTTCCCACCGAGTTCAATGTGGCCTTAAACTGGAAAAAAAAAAAAAAAAATCAGTGAGTAGAGAATTTTCGATTTCCTCTTGAACAAAAAGGAAAACCCTTTTCCAATACTTTCGCTGCCCTTCAGACTTAAATGTTCAACAATCGTAATCATTGTGAAAATCAGGAAATTTATTTGTGAAGTGCTTATTCCCCTACAGAGATTAAGAAACCACTTGAGTCAGAGGTATACGGAGATTTAAAAAAATTGTTTTGAAATATCTGTAAATTATGGAAGCACCAGACTTATACTCCATCTGAGGTTAATAACACCTCGAATATGACCACTTTCCTGATAACAAGGCAGGGTGATTATGAGTCACGCTTGCCCACCTGTGAAATGCTGACCTGATTAATAGGTATATTGGCTGAATACAGAAAAGGTTTTGGCATCTTGCCCAAGGTCATGGACAAATTTGCAATCTCGTCAAGCCATGTTCATGATCATGCAAAATATCTGAAGCAGTTTCACTTAGAGATGTTTCAGTAGCCCTTATAAATGGGAATCAGATAAAACAAAAATACTAGATTCTGTGAACTTAGTTTTAGAGACCATTTTTCAATCCATGGATTATGGTGTCTGATCAATTGAGTTGAAATACTTTAACGTCACTTGGAATCCACTTCTTTATTTTTAGGTGAACTTTATGCACATAAATTACATTAATGACCAAATACACCCTACACCTACCTAATGAAAAACTAATTTCTTGAGAGAGGAGAGGTTATAAGAAAGAAGCCACGGACTTCTCTCTGAGAGAAGGTCCAAAGTTATTTGAGGAAACCTAATCTAGACCTAGCGGAGACCATGAACAATACGGTTAATGTGCTAAGTGCCAGTGAGGGACCAGGGCAGAGAGCCGGCTCATTAGAGGGACCAGGGACACAGCCTGGCCTCCAAGCAGGAACGCAGACAGAAAAGTGTTGTAGGTCACTCAGTCACAACACGTGTGTGTGTGTGTGTGTGCGTGTGTGCGTGCACACTCGTGTGTGCATGCACATGCGCACACCCACCCCAACCCTTCTCACTTGACTCCTGGGTACTGTGGCCTCTGTTTGGTACTTACTTACCATTCCTGCTTGAAACTGTGCACACAACACCTTCCCAGAAACGTTGATGGTGATCCTCCTCTTGATCAGTTATCATTGTGATCCTGTCTCTTGGTTTAAGAGCCGTTAATAGGAATGTTGATGTACTGCTAAAGTTGTGCTCTTTGAAGTCTTCCTGCAGGCCAGACTCCTCAGATGCATGTATGCTTGACTCCATTTAGACATTCTGCTTCTAATTAGTCCTTTGAGGTACAGTACCGTACATACATGTGTAATAGTACAACTATTTGCATTGCCACTGATTTTTAAAATAGTAAGATTGGTTGATGTCTTCTAATTCCTCCTTTGGAGGGAGACTTTGGATACTAGAAAGACCTAGGAACCATTAACAGGGATGCTGGATACAGAATTTCCTTTTCTTGTAAGCAGTCAATCAGTTGTGGCATACCTCTGATGTATTTGAAATTCCAGTTCTTGGCTGTGTTTTGTTTTCAAGATCTCTAAAAGCTTTCTGTTGTTCATTGCATTAATCTTCTCTTCCCATGCCTGGCTTCTAGGGCCTGCAAGCAGCCTGCTCTCAAATGAAAGAGAAATTTCTGCAGAATTTTCTACATTTCTGTCTGATCCCTGCCTGGACTCCCCCACCTCTCCCTGCCAAACCCCTCCCAGGCGAGCTCATCTCTCCCCACTGGATTTCCCCTCCACCATCTCTCTGCCAGGCCAGCTCCTGTCAGCTTAAAAAAGATGCTCCTTGTACATCTTCTCCTGAATTGGCAGTCCTTTGTGGTTGCGTCATCCGGTCTTTGGGTTTGTCTCAAGCAAACAGGTGTTCTGGAAAGGAGCCTGGATTCGGCAGAGGAGCTTTAATGTGGCTGGGAGAGCACCTGTGTGTGAGGAGCTTTGTTGTTTTGCTGATGGATCATTTTTAAAAGATACTTGGAGTGGAGCCATGTGCACACTGGTCCTTGCTGCTTTGGGAATTTTCTAGTTAACCGAGCACTCTTTTTCTTTCTTCAATGAAGAACAGGCCCAGGGAGAAGTCACGTTCTAGTTCCTCAGCTTCAGTTTTGCGAGGAAAAATTAGGTAAAATTCAAAGATAGGGGTTTACACGTCTTCTCCCCCTTTGCTCTGTGTGTAATTCCTAGTCCCTGCCCATCAAGCATACCCATGGCCTCATATTCTGTGTTTGCCCTTGACCCCTCCCCCCAGATCTCAGTCCCCAGTGGTTCCGAGTCCTGGGAAGAAGAGAGAATTGCGTTCTTCTGTCTTTGTCCGCTTCACTCCTTTAAACTATAAGCTGTCTCCACTTGTCCTCCAGAGCCCTTACTTACTCCTGTCCCCACCGGTATGATCTATGAATTGGCTTACTCCATTGGCATGCTAACCTAAAGTATTTTCTATTATGAAAAAAACGTGCAAACATACATAAAAATAGAGAGCATAAGTGTCTTGTATGCCCACTGCATAGATTGTTACTGAGATTTTTAGTGTATTCTTTTAAAACCAAAGTTTCTCTTACTCGGTTGTTCTTTTACAGTACCGCATCTGTCTTTTCCCAAAACCTGTCTCTTAGTCATGTGCTCAATAGATCAGATGGTGAAATTCTGTGATCCTCAGTTTCAACACTATTATTCATTGTCAAAGGCAGTGGTAGTTAAGACTAGACATTAAAATTCAACAAACAAATCTAAGAGAACTTCACAGGGCAGCTTTGGGCACAGGTTGTAATTTGTAAAAATGATCTACTTGTAGAAATCATGGTCAAGTTATTATTTCTATCCTGTTCAATTCACTCCTAAGCCTGAAAATGGAGTTTTCATTTGTAGTTGTTATAAGTAAAATAGGATCATTTGAGTCATTAACACCATTCTGGGTAATTACCCTCCATGTGATTTCCTTCACAGGTAGTCTTGAAAGTATTAAAGGTTTTCACTGTGGACTTAGGCATTCTCATCCCTTAAGGGCAAAAGAGAACCAGAATCTTCCTATTAGACCGTAATACTAGACAGCAACTATGAACTACCTTTTGCCAGTAGGGACACTTGACTGCTTTAACGAAATAGGATACCATGATGTTATCAGCTGAAAATGAAGGTCAATTCTTTCTCCCGAATCCCTTCTGCGTGATGTGGTTCATGGTTGAAATTGCCTAATTTTTTTTTGGTTTGTTTTCTTTCTCTTTTCTCCAGCTCTGGTGAATGTGAAACTCTGGGCCATCGATCGACAATGTTTTCAAACAATCATGATGAGGACAGGACTCATCAAACATACCGAGTATATGGAATTTTTAAAAAGGTAAGATGCTTTATTTTCTCCTTCTGAGGGCATTTATGGTCTTTTTAACCCTCTTCCCAGAGAGGCAGCCCAGGGAAGCCTTTGCCTTTCATTTCAGTCTTAATAGTCTACAAATAAGTAGAAGCATGAGACTTTGGACTGGCTTCTTTCTGGTTTTGGTACTGATTTCCCTGCTAAGTGAGGAAGTCAGAACTTGAGAGATTCAATGTTCTCTCAGGGAGTGCAGTTTAGAGAAACAAAGGGGAATTTGCTTGAACAAAATGGGGTATTGACTTCATCCCTTACTATCAGTTAAAATATTTATGGGACCTCTCCTGACTGAATCGTCTCTTATGTAAGATTCCATGTCCAAGGTCAGTTGACTAAGATGGAAAAGTTAGAAAAGTTCCAAAAGCTCATTATCCTTTAATCCCAAGTTTAATTCCCCAATTAAATTCATTTTATGTTGTCATTCTGAAATACCAAAAGTTTTTCTTTTCTTGATACTGTATACTGTCATAATTAAGTATAGCATGGGAACTGGGATAAAAAACAGCTTTTAATTTCTTAGGATTACACTCATGTTCATTGAAATGCATTTCTTTGTCTCTAAGCTTATTTTAAAGAAAACACATTATTTCATCATTAAAAAGAATGTTGATAACTCTGACTTTTTTCCAGTAAGTAGTTACTTTGTATTTTTTCTGTTGAAAACAGAATCATCCATAAATAATGTACAGATTATGTTTGCTAAAGAGGGGCATATTATCCATTAGGATCTTCATTTTTCAGAGATACAATATCAACCTGGCTTTTTCATTGTATGTTTTTGGTTTTATCGAAGAAACAGTTTAAGAGAAGCTAGAAAATTTAAATCCCATTTTGGGTTGGTGATACATCATAACACATAACTGTAGAATTTTCTTAGAATGGAATTTTAATATTCCTTACTTGAGTATTTTATCTAGTTAATTTATTTTCTGATTCATTGTTGATGCTTATTTCATTTCCACATAATTTTTCTTTATATTCTTGCTAAAGAAACTGTAAAATTCTAATTTGATGTCAAGTAGTAATTTTAAAAAATAACCATCGGTAGGGTGTTGGGATTTTTCTTCGACATGATTGGGTGAAACATTTAGAAAAGGAAATGTAAATTTGTTTGGAGTTTAGTATAGTTTGCAAGGAAATTATTCAAGCACTGTGTGTGTGTGTGTGTGTGTGTGTGTGTGTGTGTGTGTGTGTTTGAGTGTGTTTGTTGATGTATATGTGTATGTCTATATTGGTATGCGTGTGAGAAAGAGAATAGAAAGAGAATAGAGAGACCAAGAGAGAAAGCTAGAGACAGAATAAATTATCATTTTTAAGTTTTTAGTTAAAGTACAGGTTACTGATTTCTTCTGATGGAACCATATTAGGGAAAGATCCCAACTGGTAATAAAATTCTTACCTGTAGGACACAGCCTACCTAAGGTCTCACGTACCTACACATTGGGCACTTAAAATGTAAGTTTCCATAATTGTGTTCTCTAAGAAGATGGGGTGTCAGTGCTCATGACCCACGTAAATTTTTCTTAGAGGAAGTGGTTCAGGCAACGAAGTCTCATTTTGTTGTGGCTGGGTTTTTTGTTTTGTTTTGCTTTGCTTTGTTTTTAGTTGAGTCTGCATATACTTTTATATCTTTTGTATTCACCTAAATTCGTGTTATCTGCTCTGACGATTCAAACCTTAAACAAGAAAAGTTGGTTCTCCAGAGGGTGCGAGTGTGTCTGATTGGCCAGCTTAGTGTAGGTGAAGTTTAACCGGTTGACTTAGAAAGAGGTGGACGTGACAGTCACTTTCCATCCATCTACTCTGTCAAGAGTCAAGTCCACATCATTTGTGAAGATGGTGCTGGGCTGGGAGTCCAGAGAGGCGACCAAGGGACCATCAATGCGTTGGGCCAGCTTTAATCTTCTTGCTAAATTATGACTGTGGTTAACTGGTTCTCTCTAACCCTTCAGCAGCTGACAAATGCTCTTGGATTATGCACAGTCTCATTAGCTGGAAGTTCAAGGCCCTCACACAACAACCTTTGCCTGCTTTCCTGCCTGCTTTCTTCTTTCCCCAGGCAAACCAGACAATTCCCTGTGCCTTTATATAGTGCACTGCCTGGATGGCCGGTTTTGTTTGCTTGGTTGGTTTTGTTTCCCCACCCCCTATTTCCCGTCTGTTTAAAATCTTTAAATATCTAATTAAAAGCTGCTCCTTTCACAGATACTAACCTCATTCCACCAAGGAGTAATGTTTTCCTTTTTGGAACTTGGTCTCTGTCATGTGTCTCATTCTCTACTTTTTTTTTTTTTTTTATTCTAACCTGACTATTGAACTTCTACTTTGAGACTATAAACTCATCATAAATATATTGGTATTCATCTTTGGCATGAAACTTAGTGATTTGTAGACAGGTAGTTAATAGAACATTAAGGGCAGGACCAGTAATAATTTGCAGGGTCCAGAGACCAATGAAAATTGAGAACTCCTTTTTAAAAATGTTAAAGGGGCACCTGGGTGGCTCAAGCGAGTAAGGTCCAACTTTGGCTCAGGTCATGATATCGCAGTTTGTGGGTTCAAGGCCTATGTCAGGCTCTGCGCTGACCACTCAGTCTGGAGTCTGCTTCATATTTTCTGTCTCCTTCTCTCTCTGCCTCTCCCCCTCTCAAGCTCTGTTTCTCTCTCTCAAAAAAGAAGAAAAAAAGTCAAAACCCTGACAGCATAATATTAAACCAAGCATAGGCACCTTCTAAGCTTGAGCCCTATCCTGTTGCTGAGGTTGTATACTCATGACGCTAAATGAGTAATACTCTTTTCTCCTTCATATTCCTAGGTTAGCTCTACTTGTTGCCGTTTATTCTGCGGAGCTGTTACTAAGTATGTGTACTATCCCTGAAGGGTGTAATAGTATCAAAAACTTAGATGACCAAAATTAACATTTCTATCCTGACTTAAGAATGGTTTATTTCTCTATAACTGATTTCCTTTAAAATATCCCTGCCACTCTTTTACATGATGTAAAAAGTGTTTAAGCTTTATGGGGTCAAGTCAATCAACTTTTTCCTTTATGGCTTCCTGTGTAGAAAGTCTGACGGGAATATAATAAAAATATGGGGTTAGTACTTTGAAGTTCCATGTAGCAACCTGTGTGTGTAGGGAAATGGGGTATTTTTCTCTAATGTGCTAGCTAAAAAAAGTTCATCTCCATTTTTCTACCGTAGACACCGTATACTTTCTATTTGGTTAAGGAGTTGAAGGAATTGTGATACTCAGAATGATAACAGCTCGGGTTAAAGGACGGTCTTCTGTCCTGCTCATGTCCCATGCCGCTTGTCCTGTCCATTTTAATAAACGAGCAGTAAGCATATTAATGTACTGCTGAAATGTGAAGATTTTCTCCATTGTGAGAGTTGGGTTTTATTTTCATCCCAGTGTGTTTACCTATCTTGGAGCTGCCCATCATGGGGTTTGGCCTCCTTTCTGCAATTAAATGCCACATCCAACTCAGATTCTACCTCTTTAATTGTATGTAGCCATTTCTCTCTCATTCCTCTATTTCACATTCCCTGATGTAAACACAGATGTTCCTCACCAAGCAAAAAAAAAAAAAAAAAAAATTAAAACAAAAAAACACCATTCAGGGTTTAGTAGGGCTGCCAAGCAGGGCACGGTGCTCTCAGTCCTGCGGCGGTTTTGCTTGTTGTGACCATCTTCCTCTCGGGCTCCTGGAAAATGCTGTTGTTGGAGATGGGTTCTGAAAAACAAGCCAAATAACTGCCAGAGTTAATTTGTGTTTGCTTTTCCTGAGCATGTTCTCTGTGCTGCCCTTGGCTCTGGCCCTGATTCCCCAGGAGCTGCCGAATGCAGCAGGGTGGCCACAAGGTGGGGAGGTAGGAATGGGGTTTGCTCATGGCCTTGAATGGACTACAACCATGATCATCCCCCTCTATGTTACCTTCCTCGCTGTCAAAGGAGAGAACAGGGACCGTTTGGAATTTAAGGTGCTCTCTGGATCCTGTGCTCCTTTGGAAAATGGTACCTTGATTCGCAAAGGGACTTTTGTTAAGGCAGGTGTGCGGTCCTCTTCCTGCACAAAGCCTGTCCGTGGCTTCCTCCCAGCCTGAGGGGAAGCCTGCGTCTTTAGTGGGCAGTCACTGATCTAGAACATAAGATGAAGATAGAATGTGTATTTCAAATATTTTAAGTGTTAACGAGACTTACTGATGTAAGAAATGGTTTTAAATTCTGGTTTCACCATCCATATGTAAGTAGTCTTAGGCTAGTTTCTTTTTTATTTTTTTTAATGTTTATTTTTGAGAGAAAGAGAGAGAGCAGGGGAAGGGCCGTGAGAGGAGGAGACACAGAATGTGAAGCAGGCTCCAGGCTCTGAGCTTTTAGTACAGAGCCTGTCCAGGGGCTCGAACTCATGAACTACAAGATCATAACCTGGGCCCAAGTCAGCCACTTAACTGACTGAGCCACCCAGGTGCCCCTAGGCAAATTTCTTTAAACCTAAGCTTAGTTTCTACCAACCAAAAAAAAAAGGGGGGGGATACTCCCACTTGAGGATCCTGATTATAATCAGGAATACACAAAATAAGATAATATTAGCAAACACTTGAGTGTGTGCCGGAGTGTTTAAAAACACTTGGGGGAGGGGGGAACACTTGAGACATATTAACCTAATCTCAACAAAAACCTATAAAGTGCTAGCATAATTTCCATTTTACAGATGAGAAAACTGAGGCCAAAGACTTCCAAGATTTTGAGCTAGTTAAGGGGAGAGCCAGTAGCCTCCGTAAAGGTGCTTGTAGACTCTTCCCTTGGCTGCTTCTGTAGCTGCAAGCTGCTCAAATATTAGGTCCAACACAATGCTCATCTTCTCAACAAATTGGCACTTACTTTGCCTGGAGATTTGGGCAGCTGGTTAACTTTGTTCTTGGTGCCCCTGGATTTCCTATTCACTATCCGTTTTTCTCCAGTAGCGC